GAGGGGCTGTGCCTGTCCCAAGGGACGCGGCTGTCTGCCACGCGGTCTCCCTCCGACCCTCTGGGCTCAGAGGTCCGGCAAACTTTCCTGCCCAAATCCCCGGTTTTTTTTTACCTTTCCAAGGGAGTTCTGCCCTTCCCGGCTGCAAACTGTCTCACCAGCTGAGCAATTTCACCAATTCGGGGTGGGTGCTATTAGTTTCAGCTGCTCACTCCATTTGCTCCGGGACACGACCTGGAACGCGTCTGCCTATAACGCCGCCATCTTCTTCGGCTCTCTCAATTAAAAAGTTTTAAAAACCACACAGCATTGGTAGCCATGGCGAGAACACTAGTCCTCCTTCAGAGCTTTCATTCTTCCCAGCTCTCTTAAGAAAGTCTCCGTCAGGTGCTAGGATGGCTCCAACACCTTCCCAAGGTTGGCCAACTCCCCTGTAAACTGAGGGCAGGCCTCGGGCTTAGGCCCTTAGATGCAGGAAAGCATCTGTGGGTATCCTATATAATAAAATGGTAATATACAAATTGACCCTAATAGTGGAACAACCAGGAATGACCGGTCACTATGACACACACTGACCACAGGGGGCAGATGCTCAATACAGGAGCAGCCCCTGTGGGTCAGTGCACTCCCACAGAGGAAGCTCTGCTCAGCCACAAGGTGGACTGACAGCTATGAGCGCAGCAGCAGTGGCTGGAGCCTCTCCCGACTCCTCGGCAGCACTAAGGCTGTCAGACTGCGGCTCCCCATGCAGAGTGGGCCTAAGCCATCAGTCATACATCCCCCAAGGGCTCCCAGGTTGCCAGAGGGATGTCTGACTGCCATCTTAGGTCCAGCTGGACACCTTCTCCCCTGGGCCCTGTCCAACTCACTCAGGACAAGACACTGCCCGCCTAAGCCAAGTCATACATCCCCCAAGGGCTCCCAGGTTGCCAGAGGGATGTCTGACTGCCATCTTAGGTCCAGCTGGACACCTTCTCCCCTGGGCCCTGTCCAACTCACTCAGGACAAGACACTGCCCATCGAGCCTCCTCAGGGCACTCTAGCTGTGGAGGGACGTCAGCTAATCTGACTGTCCACCCCATCATCCCCAATAGAGAAGAGGAAACTGAGAAGCCCAGAGAGGGGAAGTGACTTTCCCACAGTCACAGAGCAGCCCCCAGCCCCTCACCATCCTTCTGCCAACTGGAGTCCTGCCCACGCCCCTCCCCGCTGTGCTGCCTTCAGGCCTCTGAACCTGCTGACTGCCCCACTCAGCTGGACAATAGAGACCTGGGCCCCAGATACCCGGGAAGCCCAGCAGGGCCCAACAGCAGGGCCCCACAGCAGGGCCCCATCTAGATTTGGGATTTGCTCTGTTTGCCCATTTCCAACCTCCTCACCGTCCTCTCCTACAGCATCTGATCTGTCCCCCAGCCATCCTCACTGGGTCTGCCTCTCCCTGATTTCCTCCACCCCACACCCCCTGAGTGTTTGTTGGGGGCAGAGGTTGGAGTGAGGCAGGCCCTAGGTCAGTCAGGGAAATTGGGATGAGGGCGGGCCCTCGGCTTCCTGTTGTTCATTGCCCTGAGGTCCTGGGGGGGATTTCCCTGGCCACACCCACCCCACAGGGAAGGAGAAGGAGCCCAGGGGAGTCACAGGCCTGGGGCGGAAGCCCCAGGGTGAGAAGGGGTGGGAGGAGCTTTGTCACCAAGGTACCAGGGCTAGGTGCCCCCTTCGGCCCTGGGTCCGTGACAGCCTGAGGGACACTTCCAAAAGCAACTGCCACCTATCACTGAGCACCCCTCTCCCCTTCCCCTGGCTGCTCTGACAGGTGCTTACCTTGGTGCCAGGGCCAGTTGGGGACACAGAGAATGGGGAGGTCTTATTCTGGGGGTTCTGTGAAGAGAAAGTTGGGGTGGGGATGGGACCAGTGAGATGAAACAGCTTCTGATACCTGTCCCCACCCCTCCCCATAGCCTCCTTCTGCTCCCTTCTCACGTCCCCACCCCCGGCTCATCCACGCCCCCTGACCTGGTGATTAGTGTCGAGTCCCTTTCTTTCAGTGTCTGCAATGAGGGGGAGGGAGAGGGGTCACCAACTGCCCCAAAGCTCCCACCACCCACACTGCCCACCCTCTGATTTCCACACACCTGTGGGCTCTGACAGGGAGTCCAGACCTTGCTTCTCGGCCTCCAGGGGCTTAGACATTCTTATTTCTGGGACAGAGGAGTATAGAAGTGGGTGAGGAAGGGCAAGCTACCGGCCCTTCCTCCAGCACCATTGCAGCCTCTCTCCCAAGGCCCAGCTTGCCGCACAGGGGCTCACCCACAGCCTTGTACTTTGTCACCCGCCATGTCTTCTAATTCACTGATTTGATCCTCAGCTTTCCCTAATCTGCTGTGTATTCCTTCCAATGTGTTCTTTATTTGTGTTGTGTCATATTTTATCTCAGACTATTCTTTATTCATAGTTACTATATTTTTTTTCATACTGTTGAGCACTTTTACCATCACTACTCTGAACTCTGTTTCAGATAAATTTCTTCTCTCTGCTTCATTTATCTCTTCTTCTGGAGAACTCACTAGTTCTTTCATATGGGCATTGTTTCTTAGTCTCCTCAATTTGGTTGTCTGAGTTTGTGACTATGTATTAGTTAGATCCTCTGCACCTCTCAATCTCTAGTGCAGGTCAGTGTTAAAGGCTGTTTCTGACTAATTGAATAAGGCAAAGACTCAAAGCCTCAAGAGACCGCCTCTGTCTACAGAGTAATAGGATTCTGACTTGAATTGGCCCCAGGCAATCATCCTCAGGTGTAGGGAGAGCTTTTCAACAGGGTGGGGCAGTTGCTTCTGCCTGGAAGCTAATTATTACTTTTAATCACTTAAATAGTCTCAGGTGCAGGTGTTTTCCAATATGGTGCGTTGACTGTCTTCCCCCCAGGCAAGACAAATGTCTATGTGGGAAAGATGTCCTCCACTGTGTGATGGAATGACTCAGCCCAGGAAACTTGGTGTGTCTGCCTTCTGAGCTCTATCCTCCCAACCCCCAGTCCTCGGTTCTGCTCTCAGAACCCCAGTCCACTTCACCCTCCCTCTGCCAGAGCACTAAGTGGGTGGCTCCACAAGGGATATTTGTGCATTGGCCTTTTAAGAAGGTGTCCAACCTTTCAGCTATCACTCCCTGGCAGACAGCACCCCTCTATTTTCCACAGCTAGATGTCATATGGGTACCCTCAGATTTTGTGCTCTCTGCTGGGGATCCCAGCTTCGGGATTAGATCCCAGAGTTCATAATGGCACCCCCCATTTATACACACAGCTGAGATATCTCTCCAGGATTTCAGTTGCTGTCTGTGGTTGCCCTGCCAGCCCTTTCGAGGCTCCACCCCTCCTACCAATCTCTATGCAGTCTCCGTCTTCTGTCCTTGGTTATCAGGGTTCTCTCACGTGAGATTTCTATTGATTATTCAGGAAGCCTTTCTGTATTTCAGTTGTAATTCTACCTTGTAGAGATTTCTATTTTTAAAATGGCCCAGACCAGAGTTCCTGATAATTGCATCTCAAAGGTCCTGGGACTTACGATTTGGAAAGCCAATTATACCATTTTGAGCTGAATAGGGGAATATAAAATTATGCAGTGGGCTTTAATATTCTGGAGCCACACCTCTGACCCTGAAAACACTGCATAGTAAAACAAGAACAGCACTTTAATCCCTCAAGGATTGGCAAATGTTGGCAAAAGGACGAACTAATTCATCCATTTTGAAATGATTCTTTTTCTTTGAGTATATTTTTCCCTGAGGTTCTGTAGCAATTACAGAGCGATCTAGTTTATAGGTAGCATAAAGCTGACTCATAACTGCTTACAGGTATGGAAAAGACACATTGATCTAAGTAGGCCTCTTTCTCCATTCACTTCCCTGGGAATGTGAAAACAGGTCTAGCTGCAGGCAGGGTAGCATTAAACTTAATGGTGCCATTAACTGGCCAAACCTCTTCATTGTCCACTTTATAGTGGGGCCAGGCTATGTTACAAAAGATTAGCCTTTTTTTTTTCTTGAGGGATCCTAAGTCAAATTTCTCCCAGTTGAAGCGTTTGTACCCCAAAAGAAAAGGGGACTCTCAAGGCACTGTGGCCTGGTTCCCCATCTACAGAGGCATGTGCAGCAAGCCGAGGTTAGGCATCTCTGCAAGTCTCTGGGCTGTTTGGGCCATTCTGAGTAGGGCGGGTCTGCTGTTAAGCATTCTCTGTCTCTCATGGAAGTTAATATTAAAAAGGTGGTTAGCAAAGATTCGGTCAGCCTCAAGATTAGTTTCCTCTTGGGGGTTCCCTTAAAATCATTTTCCCTTTTTGGTTCAGAATCTGTTTCATTGAGTTCTAAATATATATTAGCTTTCTGGGCCGGGGTAGGGATGGAGTGGGGGGAGGAGGACATGATGGCATCACTAATTTTAAAATCTCTATCAGGTGAATTGGGACTGAATTGACCAGTAAAATATGTTGCCCCTTAACATGCCCTAATTGAAAGGGGACAAGTTCTGATTTTAAAACAGCCATTGGTTGCTTAGACACCCCTACCATTTGTACAGAAGCTTTACTCTGAGGGAGAGGAAAACGTAGATGGGTAGGGGTAAGAACAGATAAAGTAGCCTCAATATCTCCAAGGGCCTTAGTAATGTCCCCTTTTAAGATAATTTAAATTTCTCCTAAAATATTACTCAGGCGACAGAGAAAATACCCTCTCATAGTCCTGGAGCCACCCTATGTTTGCCTCTGTTTCCTCTTTGTAAATCACACTTCAGATTTCCTTGTTAAACAGTCTTTCTCATGGTGACCTCACTTTTTATTGTAAAAGACTCCTCTCTGGTTGCACAGCAGACCTTATTTAGTAATCCTGTTGCCTTGCTCTCAGAAACCAGTGGCTGTTATTAGTTGGACAGGTCAGAATAGACAGGATTGTTCTAACAGTGAAATTTTTGTGAATCCATCAGGGTCCCAGATAAAGTCGGGAACAATTGCTGGTTCCTCTCTAGCTGAGACCAGCTTTTGCCAAAGGGAGCTGTTAGAATTCCTATTCTCATTTTCCTTCAAGTCAGTGGTAATAGAGGAGAGGGAAGGGGAAGAAAGAAGTAAGAGTAAAGGGCAAGTCTATACAAGAAAGGTTGGAAAGGGAGCGGGGAAATGGGGTGCAAGCATTTATTAACTTCAGAACAGTTCGAAGACAGTCTCTAAAATTTCTTATTAATTTCCTTCCTTCTATTGGAAGAATTATTTTTTCTGTGCTTCTCCTTAGAAGCTTCTAATTTCCAAATCAAGATATGCTTCCCATATAGTCATTCAGTTTCATTTCAGAGCCCGCATTTTTCTAATTTTTGCATGCAAAATATTAATTTAGTACCCAAAGACAACTGCATTTTGGCCATTTTTAAGTTGATATTTTCTAGCTATATCTTCCAAGTTCCATAAAGCACTTGCAAGTAAAGTTTCCTATCAGAAATATTAAATGAGGCTGGGGTTTGGGAGTTTCTGGCCTTGGAGGCACAATTTCCCATGTTAATTTTAGTGGTTTTGTTTTTTGGTGTTATTTTGTGTTGTGTTTATTTTTATTTATTTATTTTTTAATATCTGCAGTCAGAGCAAATTTTCAAGGGATGTTATGCAGTGGGTCGAAGTATGCTGCTTATGGGTTGAGCTCCACAAGGTTCTCACTCCTCAAGTAGCATTCAATCCTCTGATGTGCCTTGGTTTCTCTCCTGCATGTCTAAAACAACCAGAGGGTTTGGGGCCCTGGAACAC